CCACGAGCTTGCTATTTACTGCCACTGAGACGGAAATCAGTGCTCCCACACCCCGGCAGCAAGATGTGGGAGCTGAAAGCCACTCGGGAAGTATGTCATTTTATACTTCACCATTCTGAATACTGTTTTTTTTCTTTTTTCTTTTTTTTTTTTTTTTCCTGGGAAATCCTTTTCTGATTTAATATATCCGAGAAGCTACACAGGCAATTTTGAAATGTAAGATCATACTGCTAGAGCCAGGCAGCTCTCAAGGGCAAAACTTCAGTTCCAAGCAAATGTGTTTAAGGCTTTGTGGTGTTAACAGTCTCTCCTCTCCCCCTTCAGATAAATGGAAAATTTCTGTAGGCTCATAAGAAGCCAGGTGAAGGAAAACTTCTGAACCAGAAGAGTAGGTGTTAAGTGTACAAGTCCAATTACTCTGCTGATTTAAATTAGTTTAGCACCAGTGGAAATATATCCAGTTAAAATTAGCTAAGGCTCTGGCCCATAGTACTGTGTCAACAGATTAGCATGAAAATGTGTTTAAATATAAAAAATCTGTTTTCAAGCATACCTTTAAGGTCAAATTCTATCCTGAGCAGAGCGAGGAGGGCAGGGTAAGATGCTGGTAGATAGATTCTACAGTGACAGGGGAGTGATAAAAACTCTTAAGGCAGAAAGGGAGGTTAATAGCTATGCCCTTTGCCTCAGGAATCCTGATCGGAGCAGGAAGTCTTGTGCTGGACCCCGCATGGGCAGGGAGCTCACAGTGGGATATATATTACTTCTGGTCTGAACTGGAGCGTTCTGCATGTTGTATATTTTTACGACTACAATGTATGGACTAGACAGCTGGAGGTTTGGGCCTATAGCTCAGCAGATGCTGACCCCAGGACATATGGGTTAGCTCTGTAGGTGGCCATACTCCTCCTATATCCATTACTTCTGGGAGAAATTCTGCTGACACAAGCAGAAAAGCTACCTCTGCCCCCAACATAGAATTCGTCAACACACACACACACACACACACACACACAGAAGTTAGTTGTGAGTTTAGCATGTGCCACAATTTTCTAATGTAGTTTATCATAACTACCATGTTAAATCCAAGCAGACCTTAGTGTTTCCATTTATTTGCTTTAGGAATCCTTGACACCAAAACATGGAGGGTTAAAACTGATCCCGCCTGGATGTAAAGCATGTAGGCAGGCAACACTTAACACTGCTAATTTTAGAAACTCATGTTGCTCAAATTTGAAAAAATAACACTCAACAGAATATTCTTCCTAGCTTCATTACTTTATCATAGTAGGACTTTTGCACCGAGATATCTTTTGCTCGTTCTTCGAATTGCATCAAGCTAGAACAGCTTGACAGTCCACATCCTGACGGAGAGACTAAACTTTAACATCAAGGATTATGTTGCTGATTAGCACTTCCAATAATCAAGTAATTGGTACATTAAATAATCCAGAGTTTGGCAACTTGCCCAAAAAGGTCACGCTTGCATTGATTCCTTTTTAGAGAGTCCATGTTGCTATGACATGAATTCAATCTGTCTGTCCAGAACTCTAGCGTAAAAATATTTGGCTACTTTCCTTCTTTTCATACAATTTGATGGGAAATAAAATCTGGGAAAAGTTGCACATTAGGGCAATATGTTCAGATTTTCCAGTTAGGGTAGGTGAGGAGCAAGAAAGAAAAAGACAATTCTCTGGTCTTTTTCTTCTCCTGGGGTAGCGTGGCCGGTGCAATCAATACAAACCTCCATGGGCCCAAGTCAACACCATTATTAGTGCAGCTCCCACCCTCTTTGTACTTTATTAGAATTTTTATGAGGTTGGGAGTCTCTCACGAGGGATCCTCCCCGCAACCAGACTGCCCAAGGAGCAGGGATTTACCTCTGCCCTTCCCCAGGCCTGGGCAGGAGGAACTCCTGAGGGCTGCAGTGAGGAAATGAGGGCTGCGGCGTAAGGGGCTGCGCCGATGCTCTGCTCGCCCTGCTCATCCCCTCTGTACAGACACGGGCAGGCTCTGAGCCCTGTGCAGCCTTCACAGACAGACTGCTGGGAGGCCAGAAATCTAAGCAGTCCCCCCGGTCCCCCGGACTGGCTATTACCAGCACTAGTGAAAGGAGGGTTCTGCATGAAACCAAAGAGTTCTCACCTCAAATCAATCATCAGAGCTGCACAAATCACTTGTGCGTGCCTTGAGAGGCTGAAAACCCACCCACATTTCACTGAGGTACCCACTGGAATGAGATGGTTATCACGCTGTTTATTTCTGCAGTATTTTGGGTATTCTCTTTCCCCTGAAGCACACAAGGATCCTGGTCTTCTGCATAGAGGCTACTTCTTTTCTTTTTGTGTAGAAAGGAGGGGATGAACACAGACTAACTAATCACCGCCACCACGCCACGCTATGCTATTGCACACACCCCAGAGGCACGGCAGACACTTAGCCTGGGCTTTTTAACTTTCAGTGTCTATGGGGACATCTATGTCTGTGCTGGTCACCCCAAGTTTCCTTCACAGCAGGGAGAAATAGGCACTCCTAGGGCACAATTCGTCTGAGCTGTCTTAGTTGTCGACTTCAGGATGAGCTCAGCTGTCTCTTTGAAGTGCCTGCTTCTCTAGGTGGATTTTAAAGAGAGTTTAGACAATTAGCTCAGCTGTGTTCTCATTCCAGATGTCTACAGTGGGTCAGATTAATCCTGCCTGGCAACCTGAAAATTTTCCTGTAAGAAAGACAACACTTACACTGAGACAAAGGAATATAGAAAACTCTTGATGAATGGGCAAATGGTTATTCCTGAGGATAACCACAATGGCAGTTATTGACATTTACAGAATACAAAGACCTGAGGACAGCAACTGAGTGATAAAGCACCCTTCTTGTCTTTTCAATGCAGCTTGTTCAGTTTGACCACTTTCTCTGTTAAATACTATCTGTGAAGTGACATCATGTATAATCATGTCAACAGGCAAAAAACCACAACCCAGTAAAGCCAGAACTCTCTCTGAATTTTAAGGTTTTGGCTCTGGGTGATGCTAAACCCTTCTTGGGATCGGGACCTTGGAAAGGTGGCATTACTGCAGCCTGGATGGTCTGTGCAAGCATAAATAGATGCTAAGAACCAGCCTGTCTTTGACTCAGTGTCGGCTCACAAATGTGCAAGTCTCTCAGCACTGGCTTGAAACAAACCACAGCTATGGGGAGCCCGAGCAGTGTGGGAAAGGATGGGTTAACCACAGCTCTCCTAGAATTAAATAAAAGGGATACAGTCAAATAGCGGCCTTCTCACTAGATAAATCACGACCCCTCGGTAAAAGCATGTGTATATTTATGAAGAGACAATCTTTCAAGCTCCAAAGCTGTCACACTGGGGTTTGCAATAAGGATCTTGCTGCTGAGATGGACATATAGTCCATCCATACCTCAGGGGTGGGTAGGGGGATCCCCACTAGCAGGTCCTAGGACCGTGTAAAGATTTTAAATATTCATTTGACTTCTAGGTTATTATATGTTGGTTATTAGTCTAAGAAAGTTATAGTTGTCCTCTGTTCTTACAAATATGTCTTTTAAATGTGTCAGCACATGCTGAGAGCAAAGAATAATGGTTCTGTTCTACTGAAGAGAGTAAATAAATACTGTTTGTGATCAAGGGAAGTAACGTTTCCGGCACTGCAGCCAGCCCAGGGAATGCAGCGGGAGTCCTGACTATACTGCGCTATCTTTGATGGTGCAATTAGTCTGCACCGATGGAGCAGGGAGGTGTTGCAACAGCCCAGATTCCACAGCCTGAGCTGCTCTCTACAGTTGTAAGTGCCAAGCCCTTCAAGGCAATATTCACACTGCACCACTGCAGTCACTATTTGTGCTACCAGGCACAGGGATTTACGGAAGGCTACAGAATATTCCATGGATTGTAATGAAATCTGGCATGTCATCAAGCCACATCCAGCAAACCATCAGTATTTTACTGCTGAACAGGTTTCTTGCAAAACCCACCATTTTCCCTTTTTCCGAAAGAAGCTCTCCACACTTGAGAATCTAAACAAATGCAATTACATTTGTTTCTTGCTTACAGGTTTGAAGCAACAGACCTATATAAAACTAACAGTTTTACAAAGGCGCTGTTTTATCAGAGGGATTCCTGGAAATAAGGAATGAAGAGCAGGGGTTTTCTGCCCCTGGAGCATTGTCCTTGGACAACCCAGGGTTGTTGGTGGGCTTACCCATATCTCTGCCTTGCTTTGCAGCCCTACCAGGAACCACACATATATAGCAACTGCAGGTCTGGGGGAAACCTCAGCTGTTGTTCTAAGGTGGGAGACTTGCACCAAAGGCAGATACCGCAGGTAAGAGAGTAAAGCCCCATGGCACCAGTCTTGCTGAGATAAGCTACAGCAGGCAGGTCCCAAAGAGCAGGCAGCCCCTAAGCACCGATATCCGAGGAAGAAAAGCTCAGGGAGAGGGAGCTCACTCCTCCGAGAACAGCCCAGCTGAAAGCCACGGTGCAGTCTGGAGGCAGACCAAAGTAAGATGGTTGGAGATGACCATTTGGTAAGTCAATTGGATAGGAGGTAGCAGGAAGCAGCTGGGTCATCCTGCTCTATGCTATGCTGTAGGGCAATTTCAATCATCATGATGAAGGCTTGAGTTGCTGTGTAACTCAGCTGGAATAAGTAAGCAGATTAATGGCCCAGACCTAAACCATATCCTAGGCAGAAAACCACTGACTTTGACATACACAACACAATCATTTCACAGCCAGCACCATCACGAGATGTTCTGTGAGCAAAAGTGTAATGAGGCTGCTGATGGATGGAGTACTGACAAGTACAGATGCAATACAACACAAAGAACAGTAATAAAACATAAATACCAATACTTTTCTGAAAGTGCTGATAAATTGTGATCTGTATCTTGTTTCACAAAGGCCACATCCACAGGAGTTTGACCTCATACCTGAAAATACTCATTCTACTCACACAGAAGGCAGTAGCGATTACACAAACCTTTACTTATTCTGATTTCGAATTCGGAGACACCTCCTTTTCAATGGTGGCTCCAGATCCTCTGGCCCTGTGCTGAGTATTGGCGTTGAGATAATGCACGGCGCAATAGCAGTCTTTTCTGCTGGTTTTGGCACAGGCTGGATCACGCAACCTGTCTTGGGCAGCATCCGCAAAGCATACGCATGGTCCTCGTCTGCTGGATTGTTAAGGTTCGGGTCCTGTTTGTCTCCCCCAGCAAGGGGCTCTTCCCCCGTCTTCTTGCCAGCATCCCCCTCAAGGTGGCAGTTTGACGTGCAGTTGTTCTCCTTAACGGACTCCAGCTCGCTCACTGCCAGCTCCTCTGGGGGCTGGGGCTTTTTCAGCTCCTGGGGCTGCTCCGGGTTCTTGGAACCCTCCGTGCTCTTTGTGCCATTCACAATGACATTGCACACCGCTGCACCAGCTTCCAGTCCTGGCGTGCCGGAGGCCAAGGAGACGGGACAGCAGTGAGCTCCATCACTGCACGGTAACGTTTTTGAGTCAACTGGGCTGCAGTTGTCCCTGCAGTCACTGCAGTTCCTTTTGTCTGAGCTACCAAAAGCCAAATTTACAACACTGTTAGGTTCACGTTCAACTTTCACTTGGGTGTGTAAAGCCCTGTGGATAACATTGTGCAGCCTAGACCGGTGGCCTACTGTTAGGTCTATCACACCGTCCTGTGGACCCTGTAGTACACTGGGGAAACCAAATTTACTGTTCACTGGACTACTAGGTCTGACAGTCAAGTCAACAACTTCATTTTTACTGTGCTCCTGAAGCACTTGAGCTTGATTTAGGGACTGGCCTGAGCAGCTCGGTGATGAGTCAGAGGATTTAGACGATCCTTGCTTTGACTCTCGAGGGGATGAAGAGCTATTGGTTGGCTTTGCCCCAGGCGTCTCGCTGGAGGTACTCGGAATGAAGCTCTCGCCGTTGCTGGAGAAGCCATTGGGGGGTTTGGAGTCGTTGATGTGAGGGATGGGGATGGGGATGGGGATAGGGACGGGCAGAGGGACAATGACAGGATATGGCACTAGTAGAGTCGGGGGTGGCACCAGCGGGGCAAGGGATGGCAATCCAAAGTTCATCATCTGTGGCATAGGCATAGGACCATTTGGCATCATGCTGACAGGGGGAAAGGGAAGACTAGGCAAAGGAGCTCCAGGAGGGGGAGGCGGCAACAAGCCTGGAGGATTCCCAGGCATGGTAGGTGTTGTGGGGGGATGGATATGAGGGGAAAGCATTGGCCTGTGCATGGGGCTAGAGGTGGGACCCATATTTCTGGGACCACCTGGTGGGGGACCGATTCCAGGAATCATTGGATTTGACAGAGGGCTGTTAGGATTTGAGGCATGGTGAGGCGGCCCACGAATAAACGGTGGACGGATTTGCTGCATAATTTGCTGTTCCATGAATATGGGCAGAGGAACTGGCCCACGGTTTGTCATCACCATGGGAGGACTGCGTGGTGGGACACCAATTGGAGGCACAATGCTAGCAGGTGGCTGGACAGAAACTGGTGGAATATTTGGATTCTCACTGATGGGAATAGGTTTGGGAACTGGTGTGGGGATTTTAGTGACAGAGCAGTTGGCAGTGTCAGACGGAGAGGCAGTGGTAGACGCTGATGGTCCAGGACCTTGAATTTGGCCAGCTGCAGACGCTGGGGATGGGGCTTTTCTCCGAGCATCTGCTAGCGGTATATTCCAAGAATCTGGAGTCAGCAGCTGCACCCCAGTGCCTTCTGCTTTATTTTCGACTGGAGGATGTAATGTACTGCACAGTCCAGCTGGAAGATTGGCTTGTGTCTCTTTGTAGAAAATGTCCATTTTGTACTGATTGAGACATTTTGCACTGCAGAACTGAAGCCTTCTTTCCCCGTCCCCAAAATCCAGATACTCTTTTGTGTGTCTTATGTGCTTACACCAGTCACATACCTACAACACAGTAATAAAATCAAATCAGGTAAGAAAAGCAATCTTCTCTTCATAGTATTATTTCAAAAGTAATTTTTCAGTTGCTTTCTAAACACTTACATTATTTTTCTAGCAGAAAAAAATAGCTACATTTGTGAAAACTATGCTTTTTTTGCTCCAAAATATTGGTGAATTGAATGCCACTCCCTTTTCTGGCTCCCATGATCTCGATTCTACCTTATACAGTACATAAACTTATACTCTTAAACCCATACCAAGGAGAAGAATCCTCAGCTGGCATAAACTGTTATAACACACATATGTAGGTATACAAAATCCGTATGAGTAAGGCTGTGATCACTCCTCAGCAGCAATTTAAGCACACCTGTACTGCCTGGGACGCCATGCTACACAAGAAGTATGGTAACTGGAAAAAGACTCAGAAAGTTGCTGGAAATGAATGCAAATAATTTCTGCTAAACTGCAGCACACTGTAACTTTTAGTATTCTATTAAGAGTATCAAATAGTAAGCTGGAAAGGGTGTGGTATGTTAAAAAGGCATCATGAAGCAAAAAGCAACAGTCATCCTTTGCCCTTCATTCCAAGGAGAAGCTCGGAAATAGTCAGGACATTTGTGTGAGGTTCGAATTGTCCCGATGCGTGATGTTTCGGCAAGCTGGAATCATTTTCTGAGCTGTTTGCCCACTCTTGTGTACGAGCCACTTTGAGTAAAACTTCTTGGCAAGCAAGGGCCTATTTAGCAACTTTTCAAATACTATGGCAAAAAGTTTGCATTGCAGGCTCGTTTTTGTTTTGTTTTTCTGCTTTCCATTTAATCCATTTCTGTGTTACTATTGGTGTAGTGAAGGCATAGCAAATTTTTTTCAAAGTAAGGCTGCAGAACTAATTAAGCTGTGAAAGGTTTTCCCAGTTGTAAACCACTAGACACTAAAGTTCAAAAAACAGTCATTCTAAGCTTCAGAATCCATTACTTCAGAGAAATTATTGTGATTTCATTAACACATTAATTTTGCAACACCAACAGCTCTCACAGATGGTGAAGACATGATCTACAATTCAAATATGACTCTTGTTTGCACAAATGCCTTTCCTTCATATGGCATTTTGAACAAGAATTAATATGAGTAATCTTGCCATAGCTATAAACAGATAAACAGATGTCAGATTTTTCAGTGCCTTACTTTTTCGACAGAATTTTACACACACAAAAACCCCATTTTTGTCATTTACATTAGTTCTCAAAATAATCCGTTGACAGACACTTTTGGTGCTTTCTATCGGCATGTTGAGCCTATGACCATGTCAGAATACATCCTGGTATTGTTTGTTCTGCCTTTTCCAAATAGCCCATATTAGCTTGTTTTGAAATTACTATATCTTTTGTACAAAAAAAAAAAAAAAAAAAGACTATGATTGTGAAAAGACTGCATTAAAAGGATAATTAATTTTAATAACTATTGGCCATATAAACAATTCCAAACAACATATGTCGGGCATCTGATTACCCATCTCATTTAACTCTCAGCTTTCCTGTAATATAAACAGTGGTGACATTTTTCAGTTTTCAGTAATATAACTTTAATATATATATACACACACAGATACATGCCCACACCCCCTATATGCTAAGGCTATTAGTCTGTTTATTTTAACTCTTCAACCTTTTGGTTATCCGGTGGGCTTGCTATTTGATTCCCTCTCCCGCCTCCCCACCCCATTCACACGCTCACACCCACACCCCCTCCCTCTACCACGGAGTTTTTATCCCACCATTGAAATCGAACTAAATAATTACGTGAGGAGTAGCAACTATTAAGTCACCCCTGAAATTTGGGAATGCAGGGCCTGGATTTTTAGCTCGTGAGATAAAGCAGAGGGGGTGCTGGTGCCGCTCGCCGCGTGCGGCGTTAGCACGGGCGTGTTTCCAGCACGATGCCCCACGCAAGGAAGAAAATTTCCCGGTGCGTTACGAACAGGGCCAGCCCCGCATTGAACACGCGCTGACGACGTCGCGCCCTGAAAAATGTGGACAAAGGCTCAGAAGAGTCGAGATGAACACCTCCGCTGCCACGGCACATGCATCCCCCCAAGGCACAGGGTGGGTGGGAAGCCGGAGGGCAGGGAGGAAGGCAAAGTGGGGGCACCCCCGCTTTCCAAGGGCCCCTGGGTTTTACCAGCCATCAGCTCTCCCTCTGCTCCCCGCGGGAAGGCTCAGCGGCCACCGCAGGCGGCACCGGAGCTGGGCAACCCCTCGCCGCAAATAGTGCAAACACGCAGCGGTGGGCACCGAACCATCCCGGGTATTTGGCATGGGGATGGGTTTTGCCACCCACCTGGCAAGTCAACACAGGATGATCTGATGGAAACATCTTATAAGTGACCTCCTGAAATTTTCTGGCTTGCCACTGTTTTCCAAGCAGACAAAAGGGGAATTTGTGAGTCTACACCATGAGTCAATAAGGTTATTGACCTTAGTAAAGCTGCTGAATTTACCTTAAAGTCACTTTTGATCAAGAGCTCAGTGCTGCATTCATAAAGCGCTATCTATTTGCATGTATAGAATCAGGATGTACATCACCGTGCTCGTCTTGCCCCAAGGGCTGTGCGAAGAGCCGGGGAGTCTCCACACGTACCCCAAGAGCTGCACAAAGAGGTACCAGGAGCTCCCAGCCAGCTCCTGGGGAAGGCTAAGGGAAGGATGAAGCCCACCCTGGCACATCACCCACTAAAACAGTGTCTCCTTGCACGGGAAAGACGAGGAGGAGATCGGCCCCAGAGGCGGCTGCTGTAAGGGCTGGAGCAGGACTCCAGAGGCAGTTGCTTCCCTGATTTAGTCCTGTGATGGTGCAGCTAAGACTTGCCCTTCCTTTGGAACAAAGGAAGCAATTCAACCTCTAAGCCTGCTGCCAAAGCACCTGAGAAATATGAGTGAACC